CGAGTGCTTCGATCTTGGGTGAATGGCTAGCAACCTTGAAGAGAGTGTTCGGAATGCGCTGGCCGTTGCAACTTCTTAAGTAGGCTACCTAGAACCAACGAATCCCGTCCCTCCGTACGTACGTACGTTCGTCCGTGCATCCCTTTGTATCTCCTTATGGCCGCGTACTAAGGCGCAACCTTCGCGACACGTGTTGCTACCTTGCGATTTTGTCGCGCCTTGTGTGTCTCCGCACATGATTCCGCAGTTCCTTCCGATGCGAAATATGATAGACGCGCGAGGAAGTGACTTGCTGATTGTCTTCCTTTTTTCTTCTTCTTCGACTACGTAGAATACCATCGGCGGTCGCTACTGTATCGCCGTTGGATGGACGAAACCGGCCTTCCTGCCGCGTCGTGAACAAACATCGTGGAAGAATGTTATCAATGATTATCGTTCAAGTTCGAATTCTTACGACGTCCGGTTGACGTGAAAGTGATAAAGCGAGACTATTTGAAAAAGGCTGCGCCGCGTCAGTCTCAATTAACATTTACAGGCGATTACGCGTAATTAATAAGTCGAGACACGAGGAGACAGTTGCAGTTGTCATTTTCTTGTTTCGCGCAGCTTTATGAACGTTATTTGCACACATACATACGAGGCCTAATTATAGAAGGGAAGCGATGCATTCGTTAAAGATGCCGTACCAAGTTTAAACACAGATGGCTTCGTTTGACTATCTCATTGTTTTCTTATCGTAATTTTAGAAGCTCTTCGCGCAAACAGATTTCATTCTTTTTTGATCTAGACCGTGGTCGCTTAATCTTTCGCCGACCAACATTCCCGAATTGGAACGTATTAATAATTTTGCTCCCCTTTTCAAGTACGTTTCCATTCATCTTTCGCTTGTTAAATGGAACATACGGCTACAGTTTTTCAGCTACACGTAAAATACGTGCCGCCTCCAGACCCATAGTGGACACGTTAACGCTATCATTTCTCAGTGAAAAATTTATTTTTGTAACTGCTACCAAAATATTTGACACACACATTATTATCGTTGACGATATATTTTTTATTTACGTCAACGAAATGTATTATGGAGAGAATAAACTTCATAAATTTTGTTGGTATAATGTATAGTCAATCATGAAAAGATTGGAACATTTTTTTAATTAGTTTTAGAACGCCCGTGTCCAGTAGGAAAATTAGTCTTTTAACATATATATTCTCAGAATATACTATATATATAAATTTCCCATTGGATCTGAGATACGTCGCAAAGAAGTCATTGAATAGAAGCGTTGCAATTTTTTCGTGACTGGCTACATATTATATAAATATATAATATACAATATATAAGTATATGATACATAATATATCTATATACTATATATATTTTCGCGGGGAGCTTGGTAGGCTATTTTTACAAATAACGTCACCCGTTAAGAGAATCAAATACGAGGCGAACATACGGGATTGTCGTTCGGCCGTCGATATTCCGCGTGTGCGTACAACCTGCGCAGGTTATACGCAAGTGGATAGTACGTACGGCCGGCGCTCGTCGGTCGTACGCGTGCACAGCATCGCGACTGCTTGCGATCCGTTATGAATGAAACGTTCGCGGGTCTCGCGCACACGGGCATCGTTCGGCCTCGCGTCGACGCCGCTGGGGCGTCTCGATTATATTGCCCCCGGCCCCGCCGTCGTGGTGCCGCCGCAGTCACGGACGTCACGGGCGCATTTTTGCGTGTTACGTTTCACGACGAACTAATTATCGCGATAACACGTGACACAGTCGTTGACGATAATACAGCGCCAGCGCAGATGTCGGACAACACTTCTATTACATCGAGACATGTTTGTTGATCGCGCGCGCGCGCGACGTCTTGGCAACGCGCGTTGCCAAAAACTCGCTGTATCGACGTTAGCGCGAGTTATTCGCGTTATGCGAACGTGCAGACGGCTCCGGATATATTTCGGACAGCCGGCCAGGTCGTAAAAGACCGATACAACTAGTGAAACCGCTCGTTATTCCTGAGCACGAAATAATTTATGGATTCGGTTTCGCGGATGAACGTACGCACGGTCTCGCAACGTTAGCCACCAAAGCTATTATGCGATACGACCGTTGTTATTCTCCGAGGAGTGCGCAACGAGTATTTTACGCGAATAAATCGACGGTTAGCTGCCCACACGTCACGTTTCCCCTCGCCTCCCGCCGGCAAGTCATATTGCAAAATGATTATTCACGGAGGAAACGTCTTTTATCTTAACATCGTTGCGCGCGAGGGATACAGCGAACGCGCCGTGAAGATATGCGGCTTGTGTTGTGCTGTTTATTAGGTTGTTTGGTTGAAAGTTCCTCTCAAATTTCGCGCTATGGTAATCGGTGAGAGCGAGACCGCTCCAGACGATTTTGTCAACAAACCTTCCCGCCGAGGGAACCTCGCGGGCCTTCCCAAGTCGTAATCATTTCGGCAGGAAATCAGGTGGAGAGATGGAGAACCAGAAGATCCGCTTTCGCCATGTGATGCTTCCAACCTGGCTTCACGGCCTCGCAGATTCTGAACGAGATGTCCTATGCGTATGTATGGAGATGCCTGCGTCACCCATCAGACAGTTTGGAAGCGGTATCAAAGGCTTGAAACTGACGATTTCAACGAGGAAGACCAAGCGAGGGGGATCTAAGGGTATTATGAGCTTCTTCGGCCGAACGAGACCATCAACGCAGCGAAGTACAGCCTCCAGGACGAAATGAAGGCTACCATCGCACGGAAGCGTCCTGAACTGACCACAGGCGTGGAATAATTGTCTTTTATCATGATAACACCGGACCTTACATCGCGATGTTTATCCGTAGGAAGCTGCTGAACTTGGAATGATACGTTCTTCCTATCCTCCGTATTCTCCCGACCTTGCGACCATCTGGTTACTATCTATTTCTCTCTGAAAAATTTTCTCCGGAACGTAATATTCGGGTCTTTGGAAGTCCTCACCTCGATCAATTCTTCGCCAGTAGGAAACTTTCGTTTTGGAGCGAGGGTATCACGTAGCTACTCGAGAGATGGGCCAAGGTCGTTGAACAAAGCGGTATATATTTGCTTCAATAAAGTTACTCTTTGAATAAAATATCGCATCCTGAATTTAGATAGGAAGATTCGGAACGAACCTTCCGAACAACCTAATACATATAAATAATATAAACACAAATATACAAAATACAATAAAAAGCAATATCATGCGATTATACACGGTGACATTGCTTGCGTTCGGCAGAGAAAATAGTTTAGTAAACGCTTAACGATTATTGCTCCTGATTAGTAGACATATTCTCTTGGATTTATCAAGAATCTAAAAGAATAAATCACTCCAGTCACAGATGATAATTATTAATTAATATTGAGTTTTTCTCTGCTGAACGCGGCCATTGCTTCGATAAAGCAATCCCGACGAGACGATGTAGGCTCTTCGCGCCACGATAATTCGTCCAATCGAGTAACGTCGGCGGAGGAACGCGCGACGTGTGTCCTCCACCGTTTGTTCTTCCGATGGCAGCTGGCGGCGCGGTGGGTATTTTTAGCGTCTCCCGTTAAAATCGAGCACGTCGACTCAACGACGCTCCGTTACGTTCGTACCAACGACAGTACGACGATTAGCGAGGGGGACGCACGGAGACATCACGGTTTAATGTTCCAACTTTGCTCTTGCTGTTACTGTTGTTGCTTGCTTGCATGTACGATACGCGGCCGCTGCCGCGTGTCACACGTGGCTTGAGCGTTTTAAGGAACACGCTCGTCCTCGGGGAGAATTATGCTTTATCATCAGTTTCCCATTTACCTTATTATACTTATTGATTGCACATGACCTCGTTAATCTCGAACTTTGCTGGATTAATGCGACGACCGCGATCAGAGTTGGGAGTTTTCGCATAAAATACAATAATATACGTCTGCGTGTAGACAATGTAAACATATGTCATCTGTGTAGACAATAGATAAACTGTGAACTATTAATGTCGGTCTACGATAGGTATTTTAAGCTTTAAACCTTGAGAAATTGATCAATCACTGTTAATTATTCTCTTCATCTCTTCTGTCAATTATTCTCTTCTATTCTTCGACTGTGATTGGTCAATTTCTTAAGGCTTATGGCTTAAAATACCTGTTGTAGGCCGACACTTAAGGGATAGCTTTTTTACATTTTCTAGGTCTTATTTTTATCTTTTGTTTTTATCAAAAAATCATAGGTAAACAAATGATAATTTGTATATTAATTAGCATGTATATCTTTTATATTACTGTATGAATTTTTTTATCACTACGAAGAATTGGTGAAATTATTTGATTTAAACATAACGACACAATTTTAGTATTTTACGATGCCACGAAAAATCAATAGTGGAAGTTTGGCGAACTTGATTTCATACTGATAAAATAGAAAAGAAATATGCATATTATAATCACGAACTACGGAACACTGCTTTTTCTTATTTGAGAACCTACTGTGGTGAATTTAAATGATAGAATTTCCGTTTACCTTCATGTACATATATCAACTTTTCAATTTTTAATATTAAATATTTTCATAATTAACACCCAAATTGAATATTTGAACTGTTTAAGCTGATTTAGACTAATAATTTATCCTTTTTCTTTGCACGTACTATGTAATTTATAATATTTTACATAATTTACATACTGTCTACACATGAAAAAGGTCCGTGTAAACATCACATAGACGATATATTTGTCCACGTGAACGTAATCTTAAATTCTACGGCACAAACCAAGTCGTGATTGCGACGATGTTTTCAGAATCTGTGCGACGTTGTTATGTAATATACTTAGTGCGAAATAACGCTTCTGGCGTTGTTTCTTTTCCCTAAAATTAAATTCAGGGAAAGTGATCGATGACTATACTCGCTGATTCGCGAATTACATATTTTTTATACGCGGTTTTATTCACTCGCGCATTTCTAATTTGTCGATGATTCAGCGATGGTATCATTTCTGTTGCAGTGTGCCAAAGTATAGACATAAGGAATAGCGTGGATCAATTTTCAAGACTGGAAGGATGTCAAGTGGTCGAGGGCTTCGTACAAATTCTCCTGATCGACAAGGCGAACCAGGCGTCCTACGCCAACATCAGTTTTCCTGAACTTGTGGAGATCACCGGATATCTTATTTTATTCAGGTACGATTATCCGAAAGCGTATTGTGTACGCAAGTTTCTGAAAATCCAGCTTTACGTGCATCCTTATAATCTTGTAATCTTATGGAAATAAAACATTGTTTCCCTTTCATCTAAAGCGGCGGTGCGATTAATAATAATGATAAATATTTGTCGTTGAAAAATAAGTATTCGTTCAAATGTTTATTGAGATTCCGTTTATTTAAATACTGTACGCAATTTAATGAAAACACAAGAATGTTCGTGATGGTCATTGTCTATTTTCTTATATTTGTTTGATAATAACTCGCTTCTACTTGGTGGACAAACAAGAATGGATGGACAAACGTGGGCAAATCATGGACAATCAATTCCAATACGTAATTTAAGGAAAACATCCATCGGTGTTTATAAAGACGGTTTTCTTTGTTTGTTCATAACAATCTTCGTTTCCCTTTCGTGAGGTGGCCAAACTTAAATTTTTGACGGACAAATCAAGGACACAATTATATCTCGCGTAAAAGAACGTTGAAACAAACACTCATCTGAGTGCAGATGTTAATATTTATTTCCAATTTTTTGTTTTATTTGATTACAACTTTTTGTTGCGAATAGCCGAAAAACTTTGTATGGATAATTCGGTGGACAGCCGCGTAGATTTGATAAAAAGAAAAAAAAATCGCATTTCAGAGTGCTAACTTTCGCAGACCTCAATGTATAATCTCGTGGTAAAAAAAGTCATACTCGAAGACGTATTTCCGCGTGAGCTAACGTTAGCAATGCATGCTACCGTTATCTTCCGGTCGCTCGTCTTTTCAGAGTGAACGGATTGAGGAGCATTGGTCATCTGTTTCCAAACCTGACGATCATCCGCGGGCATTCTCTCTTTGTCAATTACGCCCTAGTGGCATTCGAGATGATGCAGCTGCAGGAGATCGGTCTCCATTCGCTAACCACCATACTACGTGGGTCTGTGCGATTTGAAAAGAACCCGTCGTTGTGTTACGTCGATACCATCGATTGGGACATCATCGCCAAAGCTGGCAAGGGAGAGTACGTCATATCAGTAAGTATCTCCAATTCGATTTCGATGGTTTCTGCAACAGGATTCGGCAGATATCGCGGGAGAGAGTTGCTTTGACGGGCCCGGTAAATCTGTCCAAAATTCAAAAACCCGTATTCACGGATATTATTCCTGCAACCAGAAAATAATAGCGAGTAAATAGTTAAACGAGTCCGCAATACATGCATTTGTTACTTGTTATCGTCAGAGAAATCCGTAATTTATTATAGTGCTCGGAATTATTTGCACTTTCGAAGTAATTTTCGAGGGCTACGCCTACTTTCTCCCTCTAGCTTCTCCCCTTGTCTTCTATCTTTTGAACTACGAATGGAAGAAAAGAATTAGCTCCCACAGTCAGTCTGAAGTGCGGTGCAGAAAGAAATGCAACATTGAACTATAAATTAATTAGAATCGAATTATCGAGTAGCTACTTTGATATGAAGATCTAGAAAAAGTCGTGTAACTTTGCATAACTTAAAATGTATTTGCACCAGAAGAAAATGTGAAGTAACGAACAAATTTAAATGCACATATATTTGTATAATAATATGCTCAAGTTTACGAAGAATGAAGCAGTATATACGTAATTATATGCTAAAATATACTTTGAAAACGTTTCAGAATGCTGAAAAGTAAAAGTGCGTTTTAACAAATATCGGCTATTGTGATAGCATAAAATATGTTATACGCCAGCAAATTATTAGAGGTACCCATGAGTAATGCCGTTTTTTTTTATAACATTTTCCGTGATATGACTAATTCTTTCCCCGAGTATATATTCAATTACCGGGTATATGATACCCGGTAGATCTAGGTTACCCGGATGGTCGAGAAATTGGTAAGCGCTACTAAAAACCCGAGACAACTATTGAGAATCCTTACTTTCCCTCGCATCGTCCCATGGCTAATGACGGTCGGTATCTTTCATCTCATATCTCTCACCGCTCGAACAAATGACATTTCGCGCGTGTAAATAAATAATCATTGGCAGCATTCAACGGGCGTTTAAATAGCATAGTAACGCAATAATAATAATAATAGCGTCGTCTTCCCGAAAAGCCTCGACATACCTTTCCGCTCCAAAGTATAGCCTCTCGGCTTGAACGAGAGAATATTCGCGCGGATCGTCACGCTTTACGGCGCGGAGCGACACAGCGGCGCGGTCTTGTCGGGCGGCGAATTGTTAAAAGGACAAGAAATCCGAGGCGGAAGCGGCTGGAAATTGCTTCATTTACTTTACAACGAACGCACATCACGCGAATCGCCGTAAACGCCCCGTAGAATTGCGCGCAATCAAGTCGTGAGAAACTATGCGACGAGGACGGGCGACGTGACGCGACATTTTTCTACACCAAGGGAACATTTCCGAAGCGACCGAAATCGGCCACTGTAACGACCAGCCTCCGTTGTTATTAACGTGAATTTGAAATCCCGGTCTGGGCTACGAATGTATGATCAAATGACAGAATGATCGATCCACGGATGACACGACTGATTAATGCGCGAGTCGTAAATTTCCACCTTAACCGCGTCACGAACGACGTCTTCGCTTCTCGATATTCGCCGAATCGAATATCTCGTGGAAAAATCGTATCACTAAGAGGAGAGACGACAAAGTGGCACGGCCACGATACGAACCTTTCGCAATCTGTTTTTCGACCTTGACATTGACGTAGTTCGCGATGGCTATGTCTTCGTTCCTTCTCTTCCTTTCTAACGCACGATTCCGTACGCAACGGCCTAGCCACGGCTAATAACGTTTGAAACATCTCCTTTTTTTCCTTGAATATTTTCCAAGATGTATGGTGATGAATTCATCGGGTCATTCTGCGTTATAAGAAAAAATATCCAGGAAAGGTCGATTGCGGAAAAAGCAATGACAAGAAAGCGGCGTCAATAGCTTATGTCTACACTAAAGTGTAAACAAAATGTGCCGGATTATAATTGCTAATATCTTTTCATAACTTCTCAGCATGTTGAGATTTTTTTCGTGTTGAGCTATCGAAGCGGAACCCGAGAGTTGTAATTTTCCAATAAAAAGAAAAATCTGCCTTTTTTGACCTGTCACATCTAATAAAGCCTGTCGCAATCGCACGGTGGACGCACGAGGAAATTTCAAGAGCATCGAGAAAAAAGATACGAAAATTATATATCCAGATAAATCGATAGGAAATTGCGTGTGAATGTGCAAATGAGCTTATAATTATGGGAAGTGTAGTCACATTTTTTTTTTTTTTTTCAGGGCAACAAACTTACGAACGGATGTCCAATGTGCGAGAAAAGTTGCCCGGAAAAGCAGACCAAGCTCGGTGAGACCATGTGCTGGAATCGACAACACTGCCAACAAAGTAAGTTATTATCACGTCTAATCGAATTTCTTTTTTTTTTTTCGATATTTCTTTCCGTCTTCCGTGTTCTATCTCGAATATCAGGCCCGGGTGCGGTTACTGATAATCGCGAGAAAAGCTGCGAATTCACGTGTTAAAAAGATCCTGGAGTCGTCCTGTTTTACCGCAACTTTGTTAGAGTACTACACTTGTTACTAGCTGCACAGAATTAAAAAAAACCTTTTACACAATTACAATATACACACGTTAATGTGGGCGAGGATGGTTGACTTTGTTTGAAAAACGAAAACATTTTTATTATTCACTTTCTTTCGTTTTCTGAATAAAGTCAACCGTCCTTGTCTACATTAGTATATTGTAATTGTGCAAAAGGATTTTTAATTCTGTGCAGCCAGTAACGAGTATAGCACTAATAAATTTGGTAAAATAGGACGACTCCAGATTTCTTTTAAGGGGATGCCAATAATGTTGATAACAAATTTGATAAGCGTCGATAACGTAAGAATAATCTTCGAAATATTGTTCATACAACACTTTATATTAAAGTAAACACTGACATAATTATATTCTTTTTTTGTATTTCTCGCATGGCAATCACAAGAAGTTTGCAACATTTTTTTTCACAAATTTCACGACTCATCTCTTATTCAATAGGAAAAATGTTTCTTGAAAATTGCAACCTTATCGTCACTGATTATATACATATAGATCGTACGTAAATGTAAATACAATATAAATGTGTGCTACTCTTTTTTTATCATGTTTAAAAATCTAACCGAGGTACATGAAAATTTTTCTGCAAAATTTTGCAAAATTTTTCTGCAAATTGGCTTCTTAAGCCTGTAAATTTTATCAAAATGGTACAAAAATGTTCTTTGAAATTTTCCTGGTTGGAATATTTGAACACGTTTGGTACGTACAAGCTGCAGAAGGGTTTTTGCATCAGGTAAATATTTACGCCAACCGACGGCTAGAGAAGTCACTTTGAATTTTTTAACCATTTCCGCCACGTACTGAGCAATGCTCCGATTCATTCTCGCGCGAGAACTTTCACTGTGTAAAAGCATTTATATAATTCTGTGCAACCGGTAAGATATAAATTTTGCAGAAAAAAATCAATATCCTGTCTGTAAAATGTTTACAGTATGGTATTCCCTTAACCCTTTAAGGTAAGCCCACACAACGATCGCGTTGGGAGTAAAATATTGTAATTTACAAGATCGTCTTAAGGACGTTTCTGATGAACATTCTGTTGTCCGAATAAAATTGGCCGCTGAGAAGTACGATTTTCTCAATGTATATAATTATGCACAATGTGTGGACAGAAATGTTGTTACACTTTTCTTTATGAGTTTCGCAACCCATCTCGTATTTATTAGAAGAATGTATCTCTTAAGGATAATTTTATGTAAATCCGAGCGTCGACGACTTTGCTTTACATGTGATTGTATATATTGGTATTTCAGCTGGTGAGACACTATTTCACGAGTTAGGGTAGAAAATATATAGCTTCACCTAAGACGGATTGATAATCCGTAATATCGACGGAACAGTTATTTCACCAGCAGAGGAAATTTGGGGGAGGCTCAAAGTTAATAATAATATCGAACGAAACAATTTGTCAAACAGTATGCGACAAGTGCGGGGACGGCGCCTGCGACAACACGGGAGCGTGCTGTCACCCTTCCTGCTTGGGGGGATGCAACGGACCGACCGCCAGGGACTGCAAAGTGTGCAAGAACGTGGTGGCGAACGACGAGTGTATGGATCGCTGCCCGAGCGACACTTACGAGTTCATGAACCGACGTTGCGTCGAGGAGCAGGAGTGCCGTCGTTTGTTGAAGCCGCGTGAGGCGTTAGACAGCGTCCCGAATTATCCGTACAAGCCATTCAACGGCAGCTGCGTGATCGAGTGTCCGCCCGGTTACATGGACGTCGAGGTCGACAAGAAGATGTTCTGCAAGAAGTGCGAGGGCCCGTGCCTGAAAGAGTGCTTCGCCACGAACGTGGATAGCATCGCGTCCGCGCAGAAGCTACGCGGGTGCACGCACATCAAGGGCAGCCTGGAGATACAGATACGCGGCGGGAAGAACATCGTGAAGGAGCTCGAGGAAAGTTTGAACATGATCGAGGAGATAGACGGCTATCTGAAGATCGTCCGCAGCTTTCCGCTGATATCCCTCAACTTTCTCAAGAGTTTACGCATAATACGCGGCAACGTCCTCGAGAACGGCAAGTACACCCTCTCTGTGTTCGATAATCAGAACCTGCAGGAGCTTTGGGACTGGAGCACGCACAAGAACATCACCATCTTGTCCAAAGAGGGCCCCCCGAAAGTCTTCTTCCACTTCAACCCGAAATTATGCCTGTCGAAGATCGAGACGTTGCGCCAGAAGGCCAAGCTGAACGCGTTCACCGACTACGACGTGGCGCCTAACAGCAACGGGGACAAGGTCGCCTGCAACGTCACCGAGCTGCAGACCAAGGTGGTGAAGGAGACATCCAGAGGTGCGATTATCGAATGGGAGGCCTTTATGCATCACGACACGAGGTCCTTATTGGGATACGTTGTTTACTTCATCGAAGCGCCTAAGCAGAACGTCAAGATGTACGACCGCCGCGATGCGTGCGGCGGCGACGGCTGGAGGGTCGAGGACGTATCCGCCGGGAGCCCGATACCACCATCCTACAACGGCACGATCCTACAAGGGCCTATTGTTCTCACTCACATATTGACCCAACTGAAGCCGTACACACAGTACGCTTACTACGTAAAGACTTACACCATAGCCACGGAGAGGTCCGGCGCGCAGAGCATGGTCAAGTATTTCATGACCCTGCCGGACACACCGAGCTCGCCCAGGGCCCTGTCGACCTACAGCAACTCCAGCAGCGAACTGGTCATGTCCTGGTTACCGCCGCTCCACGCGAACGGGAATTTGACGCATTATCGGATAATCGGCCGCTGGGAGCCCGACGACCCGAATTTCATCGACCAGAGGAACTACTGTGACGAACGTAATTCACGCCGAATTTTATTCCTCCTCGATACAGACGGAATCCAAGTTGTGAAACAACATTCTGATTAGGGCTCCAATATTCGTTCGGAACTGACACTACCCGGATACCCGGATTATTCCGAGATAGCGGATAAATGCGAACGCTTCAAATCCGGATCCGAAGCTAGAGTCGAGCCCGAAGCCGGAGTCGGATCCGGATCCGAAGTCGGACTTGTTGTTGATTATCGCCTGACATTTTCCAGGCATACTTTCCACCAATTTTATAGCACACTCTCCAGATAAGATCGCTATATTGAACGAATCCGTTTCATTATGTATACTTTTTTCTACGCAACTTCATTAATGCCCATTGCCTCCTCGACAGGACTCGCGTGATGATGATGCGATGGCCAGAATTAGCGTTTCGACATTATTTTCTTCCTCCCACTGGGAGCAAAGGCGGCTCTAGTGTTTTGGGTTCGTTGTCCTCTCGAAGGATCCAATCCTGACCTATACTTTGAAACCGCTCGTTTTTTTTCGGCAGATGGTATTAATGCTCTCTGGTAAATTTTGGACCATCTTCTTGGCATTCGAATTCTCGGTAGGATAGACCGAGGCGAATTGGATTACCGAGAAGAATCGGATCAATATAAACTTTGCTGCGACAGTTATTGTTTTTTTTTTTTGTTTCGAACGATCCGTTTTATCACGCCAGCTACCACCGGTGCCAGCTTCCTTCGCACTCATTTGAAACAAAAAAAAACTTACGACAATTGTCTCAAAGCTTATATTGATTCGTTTTGCCTCGGTCTGCCCCTACACTCCGGTACTCATTAAATACGTCGTTCTTTAGCGAAAGCCGGATAATGACCGGGACCCTCTGCAAAGGTTGCTTGTACAATGCGTCGTAGGGGAAGAGTTTTTCTACCTGCTCGTTCAAAAGTTTTCGATGTAATGGTTTTTAAACAGAAGTTTGCTCGGTCACGCTCCTATTAGACGGACTATGTATAAATTATCTGGATTACTTGAAGTGAAAATTTGAGCGGTCGGATCGAAAGCAATCATGGATATCCGGATAACCAGATCCGAAATATTTGGGAGCCCTAATTCTGATAACAAATAGAAGTTTCGTTAGAAATGTATACCACGGTTGTCGCGATTAACTCGTTGTTTACTCGGTAGACTTCACGACGGGGCAATAGATAATTCTTTTTAATTTCAGCTATGTTATTACCTGAGAAAAAACCAATGTCTGTCATGGTGGAAGAGGAGAAGAAGCGCGCCGAAGAGGAGAGAGATCAGTCGACGAAACTGCCCGACGTAGCTACTTGCGATTGCGCGGATCGCGAGACGGATCAGTCGATGCGTGAAAAAGAAGTCTCCAGTTCGATCGCCTTTGAGAATGCTTTGCATAATCAAGTCTACGTGAAACGAATGAGCTCGCGTAGGAGACGCGACACCAAGGGAACACTGGGACAATCCAGAGATTTTTACAACGACCAGGTAAGGCGCGATAATAGAGTCCCGGATTTGGTTTCGAGATATTCGCGTCGTGGCGATATCTTTCGATCAAATCGATTCATAAATTGATAAATGAGGAAATAAAGGGAAGACAACATTACGTGCCTGTCTTTATTCGACAAATGATGTTTTAGAAACGATCACGACCTCACCGCGCGACACGCCTAAACCGATTAAGAAATTAGTAAAATTTACGGTAAAAATATCAGTAAGAAATAAGCAGTAATAATTCGGTCGGTTACAATTAATCATTCGCCTTTGTTTTTATTGTTTACAGCTAGATGTAATTTATTGTATATTCTGTGTTTGTAGAACGAGGAAAGCAGTAGTAACAAAATCGAGAATGGAACGTACGTTGCGTTCGAGGTATTGGTACCGAGTACAAATCTCACATACGTCATGAAGAACCTCCGGCACTTCGCTGCGTACGATATCGAGGTTCAAGCCTGTAGAGAACGGGTCAACGGGACGAACATAAAGAATTGCTCGACGAAAAGCATGAAAACGTACCGAACGTTGGCTATGGAAAGCGCGGATAATATTCCACCGAACACCTTCAAATTGAGCGTCTCCAACGAGAATAATAGTATCACCGTGGTCATGTTGTTTTGGGACGAGCCAGTTCAACCCAATGGCCTAATTGTCACGTACCAAATCGAATACAAAAGAATAGACATAAAAAATGTGAGTAATATACATCTTAGATTTTCGCTACCGCAATTCGAGTGAGAACGCTCCGAGGGAGAAAGAGAGAATGAGAGGGAGGGAGGGAGAAAGGGAGGCAACGTATTCTCGAAGGATTTCTTTGAAAAGAGAAGAAAAAAACAAGTTAAATTAGTATCTTGAGGAAATTTTAGAGAAATATCTCATTTCCGTCGTAATTTAGCATCTATCTAATATGTACTGCCCCTTATCATATCTCACCTAAATGCAGCCTGTTTCCTATATTGTACAGATAAAGCCAACGGTGGTGTGCATTACAAGACGCGATTTTACCAATGCGGGTAACTCGTACCTCTTGAAAGACCTCCCTGCTGGAAATTATTCCGTAAAGGTCCGAGCCACGAGCTTGGCCGGGAACGGCGCGTATACCGAGCTGAGATATTTTTATGTAGAGGAATACGGCACGATCAGCACATTCTGGATTTTGTCCTTGTCGTTTTTTTGCATCATCATGATACCCGTTTTAATGGGGGTGTTTCACGTGTGTAGAAGAAAATTATCGGGAAATGCTAGTATGAGACTGATCGCGACAGTGAATCCGGAATACGTGAGCACCGTGTACGTGCCGGACGAGTGGGAGGTGCCCAGAAAGAAAATCGAGTTGTTGCGGGAGTTAGGGAACGGTTCTTTCGGAATGGTGTACGAGGGGGTGGCCAGGGACGTCGTCAAGGGCAAGCCGGAAGTACGATGCGCCGTGAAGACCGTGAACGAGAATGCGACCGATCGTCAACGCATAGAATTTCTCAACGAGGCGTCCGTGATGAAGTAAGGAAGAAAAACCGTCAATAACGCTCGCGCACTTTCCTCGCAATTGTTCAATTTGGATCCTGACTCACTTGATTTGTTTCTGTGTACCGCAGGGCCTTCGACACTCATCACGTGATTAAATTGCTGGGCGTAGTGTCGCAGGGCCAGCCTACATTGGTTGTTATGGAATTGATGGTGAACGGCGATCTGAAGACATACTTGAGGAGCCACCGGCCGGACGTCTGCGAGAATTTCTCCAGGCAGCCGCCGACGTTGAAGAGGATCTTGCAAATGGCGATCGAGATCGCGGACGGCATGGCTTACCTCGCCGCGAAAAAATTCGTCCACAGAGATTTGGCTGCGCGCAATTGTATGGTAGCTGAGGACCTCACCGTGAAAATCGGCGATTTCGGGATGACGAGGGACATATACGAGACCGATTACTATAGGAAAGGAACCAAGGGGCTCCTGCCTGTCCGGTGGATGGCGCCGGAAAGTTTGAAGGACGGTGTGTTCACCAGTTTTTCAGACGTCTGGAGTTACGGAGTCGTTCTGTGGGAAATGGTAACGCTGGCTTCGCAGCCGTATCAAGGCTTGTCAAACGATCAGGTGAAAATAACCTTCACGACTGGACCAAACCTCTGTCTTGATGGCTTGGCATTTTTTTCTAACTCGCTATGATGTTATTTACAGGTGTTGCGTTATGTGATAGAAGGAGGGGTCATGGAACGTCCAGAAAATTGTCCCGATTCGCTGTATAACTTAATGAGGCGCACTTGGAGTCATAAAGCTACGAGAAGACCTACCTTCATAGACATCGCGACGATGTTGCTGCAAGAAGTTAATATAGAGGCCTTTGAGAGTGTTAGCTTTTACCACAGCTCGGCAGGGATCGAAGCTCGAAATCAAAATAGCTCACATTCACCGCAAAATGACAAGTGAGCGCATTTATGAACCTATATACATATATATATATTTTTTTTTTTATTCCCTCGCTTTTAGCCGAGAAGGGAACTGGGTTTACAGTTACCTTATCACACTCATTCATCTACTTTAATATTATACTATATCACTCTAATACATCATAAATTTCTATATTTACTCTATCGCATCTCTTTAAAATCTTCAATTATTATATATTTACATTGCCTTTCATTTAACAAACTTTTTGCCCATATTTTAATTATATAATTTTTTATTTTTAAATATACTCTTTATTATTTATCAAATCTATTAATACGCATTTATTTTAATTCCTTACGCATTCTTTTAATTCCTACGCATTCTTTTAATTCCTAACCTAATATAAAATTATTTGGCATCTTCTTCTAACCATATGTCTATCTTTATATACACTTCCCCATCTAATGTTTGCCACATTTAAATATAAAATTTAAGATTAACTAAATATATACTGTATTATCGAATGTGCAGCTATTGATAAGAGAGAAAATGGTTTATCGAAGAGTATTCGATTATGTCACAGTGTTGATTTATTAGATTATAATCAGAGGCTTCCGATATATTGGTGTGCGTGGGCAGTGAATTTATCCAATAAATCGTTTAACAGCGCAACTTAAATTTTGAGTTTCGGTCGATAAACTAGCTCTAAATTGTGACATATTTTTTTATTTAACATATTTCTAATGAATGCTAATTACTGTGATAAATCTGCCAATCATTATGACACGAGGTCAATTACTGTGATTTCCGTTGTTTCAATTCAATATTTTCAGTATTTCATATTTTATTTCGAACAGAATATATTTTATTTGTCCAATATAACTATATGTATTCTTGTTACGTAGAATCATGACTAATTTTTACAAAAAAAAAAGGAAAGAAAGAAAAAAGAGAATTCTACAAGTGTTGGTTTTGCATCAAGAAACGGCTTAGAATAGAAATGTATTCTAAAACTGCCAATCACTGTTCACCTCTTTCCCTACTACTACTATGTACCACTACTGACATTAAAATAGACTGGTTCTTTGCTGTTTACGCGATTAGTATTCTACGACAAAATATTTCAAAGACCTAATTACTACTTAACCTTTAAGTACTGATTATTTAACTGATAATCACGACGGGTGACCTTTAAAAACAGAAGCAATTAACATATAAAAACACGTTGTTTACTATGAATTTTGTTTGGCGCGTATTGGCTACATACCAGAAATCTGTCAAAACTACTCTACTTTCTAGCAAAGTCTAACGTAGTATCAACCGAAACGGTTAGGCCACACCTTAACCACATGCGCAAAAGCATCCTGGTACACGATACCAAATAAAATTGCCTCTTATCAAACTCCTTTATTATCTCGATTTTACCTCTACTTCTCGTCTACCTCAGTATTTTTATTAGCTATATTTCGCCTATTCTGCTTATCCCATTTTTCCCGCTCATTCGCTGCTCTTACCTTTCGCAAACTCCTTCTCTTTACTACTGAAAAAAAACTCCTTCCAAAACAAGATCTCCTCCAATCTCATTTTATCGCAAAAATCTCTCACTCTGAACACTCATACATGTGCACACACACACACACACTCTCTACTCACGTCCCACCTAACCAAGTCCGCACACGAACCTATGTTGAGTCGCACGTAATTCGCTCGAAATATATACTTCGCACGCTCAAATCTCACGCTTGAAATCAATTCTGCACAGAGATTTAGAGATGGCCGCTCTGCAAGACCTGCGGGAGGAGGAGATCGAGGGTGAGGAAGATTCGCCGCTGCGTCAGGATTTCGGCGACTTCGCGAGTTTTGAGCCTACCAGTATTAAAGACGACACGAGCCCGCGTTACATAAACGCGTACGGTGAAAATTCGAAGGCCGTTTCCTCTTTCCATGACATGAACTCGTCGAAGGTACCTCTCAAAGCTGGCTTCGACGATTTCGACGGCGTCTCCGGGGATTCGCTCGCATCCAGTAAGGACACGTTGAACCTGCCTTTCGTAGAGGACAGCCTTAAATCGGTCAAGAGCTCGCCTTTTATACATAACAAAAGTACATCCCGCAGTAACGTAAGTCACGCATCCCTGGGAAAGTCCGCGAGTCCTCAGAGTTTAGTTAAGCGAAGCTTCCTCGACAGTCCGAATCCCTCGTGTAAGAAGCCCCGCGGTAGTCCCGATTACGAAAATCGGAGCCCCGAAATCATGCTGGGCCTCGAGAAGGGGGAGATCACCACCACCCCCTTGCACGTGAACTTTCCGTCTATGGACGCTATTGATATCGATATTAACGGTGACAAGAGCGACAGCAAGAGCATGGGCGAGTATGTGAACAAGCCGGGAACACTGAATAACGGTTACATCGGTAACACCACCACGTAGCTTCGTTGAGCCCTGCAACGTTAATCGGCGCCCTTTCGGCGCGGAGAGAACGCATGTACATGAGACAACTTGGAAATTGATTGTCCTCGGTGAATAAATATCGACACGAGTATATATCAACAAAAAGGCAGTGTCTGTGCCAAATTAATAAGCACACTGGGTCGCAGTTTCGAGAGAATCGCACTGAGAACGCGCGTGCGTTCGCGCATGCGAAAGACGCCGNGGGGGGGGGGGGGGGGCATTTCTCTTGTGTGCGCGAAGCACTTCGCCGCTCGCGTTGCGCTTCTTTTAGACTAACATAAGTTGTACTCATAGGTTTTACATTTTAAATGCTCTAGACGTAATCGAGTGCAGGTCCTAACAAACAAGTGAAGTTTCCTTATACGGGTGTTACCATGTCTTAATTCCGTCTCTCTAAATGTAAATTAAAATATTGCTACGCGTGTACAGCTAATTATATATTTGTTGCGCGATGCATGCCGGAGAAAGAGCGAATATATTTATATCAGATACTGTCTTTTTGAAGCTATCGCTAGTAGCGTACGTTAATATGAGAAATTTAGCTTCAGCTGAAGACATCCGTTATCGCGGAGTCGCATAAGGAGCTCCGGTTTAAGCCAAACGTCTCTCCTCGAAATTGGGCTATACACTGTGAGAAGAAAACTGCGGATATCTCCGTGTGGGGTGGCAGTGCCATGCCATGATGGGATACTCGCTGACAAATATGTGACAGCCCATCTCCCCCATTCACTATTTAGCGTGTAAGCGTGTGTATCAAAGAATTGAGCTGGTTGATTGTTTGTATCATAGAATTTTCGTTTAATTTTCAGTCGCAAAAAAGGTACGCTAGTTTCTGCTCTAAGTACTATATATTTGTAAAGCATCGGTTCATTTTCCGACCTTGTAATAAATATAGCGAAACAAATTGGCGATTGGGTCGATTGATATGTTGGTACAATGTTCTGTTCGCAGAGAGAGAGAGAGAGAGAGAGAGAGAGAGAGAGAGAGAGAGAGAGAGAGAGAGAGATAACGTATTTCATAAATTATATAAAATATGTAAAATGTGAATTGTGCGCCTGGTCGCCACTTTGTACGATTTTAGGCTTCAAATTCGTACAATAGCATAGAGTCGATATATTTGTTGGAAGACACACACACACACACACATACACACACCCACACACACACACCACACATATATATAAATGTAGAAGGTGATTCAGAATAAGTCAACTTAGCAAATACAAAATATATATGTATACATTTATCGCGCGTTCCTCTAATTTAGAAATTTCTATTATATTTATGTTTTCTACGTTGTTTTAATGTTTCTCGACTTTACAATATCAGTTGACCTAAAGTTCTGAATCCACCAATTGCTTGATGTATAACAAGAGAACTGGAGAGTAAGGAATTCTTCAAGTTGAAAACCTCTTCGGTAGCGAGCGTTCGGCCGGCGAACGTTCACGCGATACACATTGAGTTCACAGTACACTCCATAGAAAATCCACTTTAATTGTGTTATCATACGAATCATAGCGAAATACTGAAATGAGAGCGTGGTCAGTCCACTGCTTTATCGTCTTCGATATTGACGTCATAATATCGTATCGTCAGTTCCGAAACCACCACGATCAAATTAAGGGTGTTGCTAAGGATACGTCGAATGTTAATTTGAACGGCGCCCTACTCTCGTTTCTCATCCTATTTATCTAGACAATATAGCGCAATGTATAGACATCCAACAAAGCAAACCAACACGAAGTAAAGCTATATACCGTGTGTGTGTGCGAGAAGTTTCGGGACGGAGCGCGAGTCGAGAATCGTAATAGAGCCCGCGAAAGAAGGAACTCGGCCGTCTGACATCATTCTAATCTCCGTCAAACTCGAGCGCCGCATTAACGTTTCTGAAGCCGACGTTAAGTGACTTAGTCCTTAGGATCTCCCCTTTCTTTGTATGTCATCGCCGAAGCTCTGTCCCGAAACTTTCTCGACGTACCTTGTACATATAACATATAACATAGGCTACGCGTCTATGTAAGTGTCAGTGCCCGCAATAAATATTTTGAGCCTTGAGAAATTGACCAATCACGGTTAATTATTCTCTTCGTATCCGATTGTGATTGGTCAGTTTCTTAAGGCTTAAATAAAATACCTATTGTGGACCGACGCTAATGAAATACTATTTCGTGGAGCCGGCGTGTGAGATCACTCATCGCCACCGTCAGCGTCTTCCAAGAAGGACGCGTTCTCCTCAATCAACGATAGATATCGCTCCTTTTCGATCGGCAATGTCAACGCATTACATCCCCGTAAGGATTTCACCACACCGTGCAATTCGTAGTCATGAGTCATGATGAATTTCCACACCGTGCAATAGTTGTTAGCGTCCGCCGGGTTTGCCGCTCGGCAAGCAGGATCCTCCGCAGCAGCTCTCTCTCTCTCACGTGCGCGTAATCACCGCGCCCGCCGCCGGGCGGTTCGGTTTCAGCGTCGCTCCACGAAATAGCCGAAATTCAGAGGCATACCACGTGCTTTTGAGTAGACGAGAGAACGTAGACTGTTTTAGCCCGGTGAGAAAAAAGAAACCAGATCGATCGCGACGGACGGGAAGAAGACCCTCCCCGGTCGGATGGCGAGAATATGCGTCCGTCGCGATCGTGAAATAATTCATAACGGATGGCAAAGTCCTAGTAAACGAATGAGCTATAGGAGAAGAATTTATACGAGCAACGCAATGCAATGCAGTTGAGTCTAGACATATAACGAGCCTCTAACACAAGACTGATTAGCTAATCCCACACTTGTACATCCGTAATCTCTCAGTAAGTTAAAGATACAAGACAAAATGGTAGAAGTTCCGCAATCGTTTCCATATCCGCAAACGACTCTCTCTCCTCGCCCGCCCATCCCCCGCCCTTCCCTCGGTTTTATTATCTTGTTTATTTCGCCATATATCCGCTCGAAGGTGTATACACACACATATATAT